TTCGCAACTTAGGAGCTAGACAACATCTTGACTGTTCTTGCAGACCAAACTGCAAAGCAGTGAAAATCCTTAGCTGGTAAATGTTCGCCGAGTGGAACTGCATGAAACCATGATGGCATTGTCTGCCCTGATGCACGCCACTATTTATTTTTGTTGTAATGAAGTCTAATAGCTTAAGTTTGAGAAAAACCGCTTTCCCTTACGCGGTGTTCCAACACACCAAAAACACTCCGGCACTGCTAATGTTTTACTGCTTGCTTCTGTCAAGAGAATGCCAAGCCGGAATTTTTTTAGGAGACGAACCGAACATTAGGATTAACAGTATACTGACTGACAGACGATGAATCTTTGGCCAGAACCTACGGCTTAATTAGAGAACCAAACTGTGAATTCTAGCTTATTTAGGTATTCCAGGTGAACTGTATCCTTGTTGTTTCTGCACAGCTTCATGGGTAATCCCTTTCTGAGCATGAACTCTGCGGTGCTGCTTCACCAATGCACTATTTCTAGAAACGCGGCGAAGCTTCTGAGAAATCATTCCACTGGTCAATTGAGCAAATGGCCGTTCTGCATCCAGCAGATATTGATGAGACGGAGCCGATGTGCATTTCTCCGTTAGTTTGCAAATTTTAGATATTTTTCGGGTTTTGCATTATCATTTGTTGTGCTAATTCAGCCGAATTTAGGGATCCCGTCGTTGAGCAGCAAATTCATAGTGCGATCGACAGGTTTTGGTCATCGCAGAAATATATCATGCCTTCGCCACAGGTGATTCATTTCATTGAAAAGCTGCATATGAAGTTAGATTATAAGGAAATGAGCAGGCGAGAATGGTTTTCACAAAGCTATTCGCCCTGTGAAATTCTCTTTTTCTTTTCGAAAATCTGCCATTTGCTTTTTACAGCTGTGAAATGAGTTCCAGCAATCAGTTCTTTTATTCAGCCTTTTTTAATTCACCTATGCTTATAAGCGGGACATTGACAATCTGTTTTTCTTTCAGCTTGACAGGACAGCATTATCAGATGTGATGCGCAGTCCACATGAAAAGCAGAACAGACGCGGCATCGTTTGTGCATTCTATTTGCTTTTATTCAGCACATTTAGAAATTTCCTCTCAAAACGAGTCAACTTTTATTAGGCTTTTTTTAAACTGTAAAATTCCAGTAATTACGATGGTTTCATTAGCGAAAGCAGTCGAAATCACGGAGAATGTTTGCAGTATCAGCCGTCTCCACTGGTATGCCCGACCCGAGCAAGATGTTGCGGTACTGAGAAATCCAAGCATTCCGTTGAAGTGCAGACAATGTTTACGTTCCCTCCGAACCTCGATTTGGTTGGACTTTTAGGTTTGATATTCTTTTGACAGCCGTGCATGCCTCTGCATGCTAAAATCAAGGCACATTACAGCTGCGCGTTTACTTGCAAAGACAGAAATCTTGTGGTTACTGCATTCCAAGATCT